CCTGCTCTCTGACATGAAGCGGCCCGCAGTGACCTGCGCCGACTCGCACGCATAAATGAACGCCAGACTGTTGATCTGACCCGCACTGCGTAGCGTCAGTGTCAGGCGCAGGCTAAAGCGCTGCTTAGGTCCGATAAACATGAACGTGATTCATCCTGTCTCATCACGTCCCTGACACGAAGCAGGGCCGGCAGGCTCGGTAATGACACCGTGTGAATTGTGAAGGTCGATAACTACACCCGTCGGCCGGTAGTTCTCAAGGTTATCCCAACGTTCCCATAGACAGCACGCGGCTCCATGACGGCTTGTCACGCATGCCGCGCTCAATCCACGAGGCGTTTGGTTTTTCCTGAATGAGACGATCGGGTTGACTAGTAGAGCCAGTTACTCGTCGGTGAGAGAATGCATTGTGGCCGCCCAAACAGCCAGACAAAGCGGCACGAAACGCAACGCCAGCATTGGTGGCAAATCTAGGACTGAACGAGAACGGTGACCTCAGTCGCCCACCTGACCCGGCGGGCAACGCGTATAAATTATTGTGTAATTCAGTTGTCTGGTTCGGTCACATGCTTTCTAGCAGCCCGGGCGCATTTATTCCGAACATTAACGCGGTCTTTGGGCGTTTTTTTCGGGGGAACTTGACGGAAACCTTGTGCTTGGCCCGGAATAACACGCGATCTGCCTGGAAGTGCGGGACTTCACCACGAAAGTGGGGAATGCAAATGGATCCTGTGATTCAACTCTTTCCGTGCCTTGCCATGCACCTAAAATTGGTCACTGAGGCACTGGGGTGTAACTTTTCCCTGTAACAACATTGCTCCGTCCGCGGCACACGGGGCTGCAGGCGGACCCTGGCCATCGACGGCGCCACCGCTACCGTCGACTCACGCCGGCGCCACCGCTACCGTCGACTCACGCCGGCGCCGTTGCCGACACGGTCGCCACCGTCTGTCGCCATGGTAACGGCGCCCGGCCACCAGGTGGCAGGCGGGCGCCTGGCGGCATGCCAGTCGAGTGCCAGCGGGGCTGTGGGTGTGGGTGGCGGTGCGGGGTGACGTGCGAACGGTGCGCGCCGTAACCCACGGCTCGGTCACCATGCGGGGACGCAGCCGGTGACCGGCGGCCCGAGCCGTGACGGTGACCTTCCTACGACCATGACCTCGTGACCCCTGACGTCCGCGATCCCCTTCCTGCCGACGGCCTGTCCGTCGGACGTCCGGCCGCCGCCTGAGAGAGGCCCTGGAAGAGATGACGCCGCCGGTGGTGGGTGACACCGATATCCGTCGACTGGTTGAGCAGGCCGAGGCTCTGGTGCAAGCGGAGGAGGCCCAGTCCGGCCCGGAAGAGGCCCGATCCGGCCCGGAAGAGGCCCGGTCCGGCCAGGAGGAGATCCGGTCCGGCCAGGAGGAGGCCCGGTCCGGTCAGGAGGAGGCCCGACCCAGTCAGGAGGAGGCTAAACCCGGTCCGGAGGAGGCCAGGCGGGCGGCCGCACGTGCCGCCAGGGTCCGGTCCTGGCTGAGGCGGCGTCCGCGGTCGGCCGCCGGCCCCCTACGCTGACGGACAGGTGGGTCGCAGACGACGGTACCCTGCCGGCGGTAGCGGGGTCACCTGGGGTAGTGTGGGGGGGGGGAAGCCAGAGCTCGGCATGCCTCAGGCTCGCTTTGTGCGCAATGAGAACGGCAACTGCATCGCGCACGTTTCCGGCACCGGAAATCCGATTTCGATAGCGGCATTGCGTTGGTGGTTGTGGTTCGTTTTGGTGGCGGTGGAATGATTGTTGCCTTTTCTTTGAAGTCTGATGAAGTTTATTGAATGGTGCAGCCAACGTTTCATCTCACTGTCGCGGTTCTCTACGTTTATGCATCTCATGCATGGGGACAGCGTAATTTAGGTCTCTACGTCACTGCGTGCATTGGTTTGTCATAAACATCGTTCAAGATCACCCAATTGTGAGGTCATGCATTGGGCTATTAATGTCTCTAAAAAGACAGGTGCCCATGCTGCCGGAGCCGGGGCTAATGTGAGCCGGCACTGCATTCAGCTGACCCTGGCCGGGCAACGCGTGCCACCGGTCGCCGGGGACAGACTGGCACGCACATTCAGAAGGCGTGTACGCTGTATACCGGCCAGCTTACATGAGCATACTCCGACCCCGAGGGTCACTCGTCAGCACACTGACTCAGCTGATTTTACAAAGCGTCCGCCGTCTAGACGCGTTACTCACGCGGAGCCACCAGGGAATCTCGGACTCCAGTCTCCGTCCCCTTCACAGAGGCCTGCTTCCAGGACCGGCGGGCTGCGGCCGGGCGCCGTGCCAGGTTGTCGCCGCTCTGACTATATGCAACACATGAGGCGACTGCAGGCGTCGCTCGGGTGCGATGCGATGCGATGCGATGCGATGCGATGCGATGGCGTGGCAGGGTGGCTTCACGCTAGCCCCCCTGCTGAGCGTAAATTGCTCCTGCGGTGATACGGCGCGGTGGGCGTTTGGCTTCGCTATAACGACTGAGAGCAAGTCACGTGTAAACGAACTGAGCATTTTAGATCCGAAGCGCTGCGGTCGCCGTCAAATTTCATACATGTCTTCACGAGCTCTCAAAAGGCGTGACGGGTACTGAGGCTTGGGTCCCTCAGTCGGCATGGAAGCCCTGGAAAAGAAATGCCGCGCCTGCGCCGTCTAAGCAGGGAAAGAAACCACTGCCTGATGCAAAATGAATGATATATTCCTTTGACAGAACTACTTTGACCTGGGAGACTAAGAAACTGTGGTGTGATCCATATTGCCGAATTATTCCTGACCGCACAGGCGCCGGGTCAGGCGAGGGGTCGTAACCCATGATCCCTTGATACCTCTGTGTGAACCGGGACCCCGGAGGTCGGGGGAAGCTCAGTAAGTGCCCAGACCTTGTCAGCCGTGTGCAGAGATAACGACCGGCGTGACATTGGCAGGGGAAGGTCTGCAACAAAGGCCGTTTACCTTTCCCACTGAAATGCTTGGACATTTTCCGGGGTTTCACTCATTGTCCGAAATATGGGGTTTGCGCTCTGGTCAGCGAGAACGGCTTCGCTGCTAAATAGTTGCTTGCAACAGCAATGCAGTTTTTGCTCTTACACCAGCCATTTATAGAACTTGCGGATAAATGGCTTAATACCAAAATTGTGCATAAGATTGAGCATAACTTTTATCGTGCTAATTTCCTATAAACAATGTTTATGTCCAGCTAAGAATGTAATCACTGCTCCTCTAAATTGATCCAAGAAGACTAAAACCACTCGTGACCTAGAACACCAAGACACGCACAAACCTCACGCACCGGTTCTACGCCAAGTCATAATGTGGCCGGGACTGACCCACCCTAGAAGCCATAACGCTTTTCTTTTGCTGCGGAGCGAACCGCTAATTTTGAGGGTCGAAAAGCATGATCCGCTAGCCTTCCTGCGCCGGGCCATACTGCTGCTTCCCCCTGGCATTGGCCAACAACCCGCCTGAAACATATGCTTCTCGCATCCTTGAACGGAAGGTAACTTCGGGCTCTCTCACGAAAGGAAAAATAAAAGCATACTGGAGAAGATCCGTCGCATGCGAAAACCCCCTACGCGATAATCATAGCGTTGGGTCCTCCGCTGAACTCCAAATCGTTATATTTTTGGGAACACTGGTGGTTGGGTATACACGGTATTGTGCATCAATTCCGAATGGTACATTTGCGCTGTGTCCCATAATGCAGCTACGTGGGCGCACAACGGCCCCGATACGGACACCGCGCCAGCACGTGGCAGCTGCGGGGACGTGGGGTGTCTCGGTCTTCGGCAGCGGCTGTCAGCTGATGGAACGCTGCGTCTGAAATGTCTACCGGAACACCGCCAGCAGCCTCCTCCGACCGCTGGCGTCGCTGGCGGTGGTCTCCGCCTGTTGACCGCCCGATTTCCGATGGGGCTTCGTTTGAGGGCCCGTGTTCTTCTGTCCCTCCCATGCCAGGCTCCAGTCACTGGGCAGAGCTGCGGCGTCGGACTGGGGTGGATGTCCCCGCAGCGACTGATCCCTTGCACAATACCTGCTCATCTGGGAATCCCAGGCCAGGTTTTGTACGTGACTGTCAGCGCAGAGCCTTTCCTTAGTACTAAATACTGTTTTCCAACTCCAGCCGCGCCCGGTCTGACTCACTGCTAGCGGCCCTCGCCAGTGGCCTGTCGGCGCCCTCAGGTCGGCCCGTGCCCTCCGGCGCCCCGTCAGCTTCGGCCAGCCATCCTGGCGGGGAGGGGACTGGGGGGGGGGGGGGGGCGTTACGCTTCCGGTGGCCGCCGCGTTGCGGGCCCGTGCGTGCTAACTGACTGCCGCTGGCCGCTCGCCAGCCGGAGCCGCTGCAGCCGCGTGCAGCCGGAGCGGGCTGCTGAAATACCCGACGGCGGCGGCCGCGGCCGCGCTGGGAGAGCGGGCAGAGCGGCGGAGAACGTGGCGCCTCTGGGGAGGGGGGGGGGAGGAGTGTGGGTCATCGATGCACAGCAGGGGAGAGCAGGGCACTGCTCAGCCAGGAGGCTACAGGACTGCGCATGCCATTGTCCTCGTCCTCGTGCGTTGGCCTAACCGGTAGCGGTGCCAGGAACCGTGACGCTGTAATGGTTCGTTCCAGTTGGTTGGATTCGTTAATGACACTCTGGGGTTATCACGATTTCCGTGTCTATCACCGGGTCTGGCCAGGGGCTTTTTAATTATTCCGATTTGAAGATCCGCGTCTCAGTGACTCGTATCTGTCCTGACCGCATTCCGGGCTCGTCTTCCGACCCCCGCCGAGGGGCTCTGGTGATCCTCATCTCTTCCGACCACCGCCCGGACTTCCTCGAAGTCGGAACCCCGCGCCCCTGTCACTTCTTCCGACCACCGCCGCCGCCTGCCCGGACATCCTCGGGGGCAGAGGCCCTGCGTTCCCTCGTTATCGCCGCCGACCGCCAGCGAGGCCGGCAGCGTCCCCACCTCATGGCGGACCAGATAAACACACGCCATGACTCACCCCACAGATGTGGCCTTCGGACCCGGCTGGCACATGTGCTCGGAGTTCGGCCAGGCGGTCGGCCGTTTGGCCCACTGTGCGGCTTCGGCGGCGCGGTTGCCGCCCATGCCCGCTGTGCGGCTCCGAGCGGGTTCTGTCCACAGCCGCGCCCATTGATCCCGCCGCACGGTTTTTGCGCCGCCTGTGCACTGTCACGGACGGCGCGCCTTGTGTGGCGCAGCGCTGGGCGAGCGGGGGGCCGCCGCGCCGCCAGCGCATGGCGCAGCGTGTCGGCGACCCCGGCTCGTGACCTGGGCCGGACAGCTGTCGTCCTCCTCGCCGTCCGTCCGCGCTGTCCTCGTCCTCCGCACGAGACGCGGCGTGGGCGGGCACCCCGTCGCGTGCTTTATTGGCGCAATGTCTGCGACGGGTTCGCATTTGTGCCGCCGATAGCCAGCAACTGAACCGTTGTCAGGCGACCAGTAAACAGGCCCAACGGCCGGCGTGGCGGCAATGGGGCACGGCTCAACATAGACTGCGGTGTGACGTCACTGTGGGGACATTACCCTTTGAAGGGTATGTAGCAGAGCCTGACCTGACGTTCTCATCAAGGCTTGACGGTAAATTCCGCTCCTGTCCCCCTAAACGTAACCTCGGTCGGCGCTCCAACCCGTTTTTCCGACGTAGGCGACATCACTGGGCGATATGCTGGGGGGGGGGGGGGGGGGGGGGGGGGACTGGCGATCCATATAGATTGCCGGTCGTGATAACGTAGAACACACAAAAAGTCCGATACCGGGCCTGCTGAGCCAGGCACTGCCACTGCCGCTGGTCCCTGCTGGTCGCCATCTCAACATCCATTTAACTTTTTTCATGTGCAACCCACCTCGTGTGCAGCCCGAATTTTCTTTCTCGGGGAGCAAGCGCATTCAGTTAGAACCCATTACGCCGATTTTTTGCTCTGCTAGGAGCCATCTACGGAAAAACCGAAAAATATGGGTCTACTGGCGGCGCCCCCCCCCCCTCCCCTCCCCCCCCCCACATTTCACGGCCGTGCTGCCAAGCACAGCTGTACGGCCGTGAAGGAGCGCGGCCGTCGCGATCGAGCGGTGGTGGGGACGCTGCCTCTGTGCCCCGCCTTGGAGCGAGCCATCACGACCGACGCCTCGCGCAGTTCGGCGAGAGCTCGGCCGACGCCGCGGGCCTTACTCTGGGCCGGTTATAGCTGCGGTTTTATTTCACGGCCATCCGGGGCCGCGAGGCGTCGATTTGTATAATTGAGGGGGGAGGGGGCGGCGAACCGAAGGGCCGAAAAAGCTTTATGTGAGCAACATGACAGTCATGTCCAGCAATTACAGCCCGATGAAGATATGGTTTGTAGGATAATGAACGCTTTCTTCAAGTCTTCTTCAACTATTCTAGTAAAAAATGTTGTGATTTCATACCAACAATGAGAGGAGCCAACAATGGGAACAGGCCCTTCACAAAAGGACTCATTTCCGTATCCCTGGCCAGCGCAATTTTCCTCCTAGCTGCGCAAGTTAGCTTCTCAGCCGCATGTGACCTGACCTCGCCGGTTCGTTAGGGAGCCGAGCGTGACCTCTGGTGGCCCGGGTCATTAGCCACCGTCGCCGGCTGTCTACGCCCGGCGCCAGCCGTCTGATCCTGGCCTCCCTGCGAGCTGCGGATCACCGAGCGCAGTAGACCGGGCGCGGTCACGTGCGTCCAAACAGGCATCCGTGACGCGACATAGCGTGTCGTGGCGCGACGCGACGCGGCGTGTCCGAGCACGCCTCACGACGCGGCGTCGCCGCTGCCCGCGCCCTCTTCGTGCGGCTGCCGCGCCCACGCTGCCCGGGCGGCAGCCTGGCGTGCCTACGTCCCGGCGGCGCCGCGGCCGGCTGGCGGGTGCCGGCCTGCCGGCTGCAGGCGGGGCCGCTGCAGACGCCGGCGGGCTGTTTACCCCGGCCGCCGGGGCCCAGATGCCGCCGGCCGCCGGAGCTGCAGACGTAATCAGCACACGCCCTCCCGCCGGCGCGCCCGCTGGCTGCAGCTTCCGGCAGCCGGCGTCGGCGGCCGGCGGCGTGCCCCGCTCCCGAGTGACGCGGCGCGCCCAACCCGGCGGCGCGCGGCCCTGCTCAGCCAGCGCGCCCCCACCGACGCGGGGCCCCCGGACTGAGCAGGCCAGCGTGGCCGGCGGCGGTGCCAGGTCTGACAGTGCCCCCAGCGTCGGTGAGATGACGCATCCCTCAGGCAAGAAACACAGGACTCTCCCACAGAGCTCAGTACCGATGAGTCAGTCATGGCCCTCGGGAGCAGCGCACATCTCGCTGATAGGCGCGTGGCAATAACATTTGTGAGTGCATCCCACACATTGCTCGTTTTCATTAGTGGACTTATAATCCATGCATGTGCAGCCCCCTTGCTCGCCACGAGCGCTCGTACGCTGTCGAATCGGCTCAAGGACTCGTGCGCCGCGTCCCTGCAGGCCCAGGGAGCCAGCGCCCCCTCCATGTCACGCGCCTACCGCGCCTTTCAGCTCCGACTCCGGCCAGCGTACCGTTGCCGTCGTTAATCGGCCCGACACGTCGGTCGTGACGGGTGCAGTCTGGCCTTCCGTTGTCCTGGCCGGTCACGTGCGCCTCATGTGACCCGCCGCCGCGCCGCTCCACCGACCTCCCCCGGGACGCGGCCTGCGAGGCGGGGGCGGGGGCGGGGGCGTGGGCGGGCGTCGGCGTCAGCGGGGCGTGGACGCGGCGTCGGCCGGTGGCAGCTAATGGCCAATCAGGCGCCGGTGACAGCTGACCCGGCCTGCTGGACCGACTGGACGTCAGGGTCGGACTGGACGGCCGCGTTATGGACGGCTACTGCCGTATACGCCGTTTGAGCCTGGAGAAACGGCCACAGCTGGACTGGACCGGTTTGACGGCACCGCGGAGGAGCTGCTGTGTACAAACGGTAGAACCGGTTGTCGTGGAAGACGACCTAGGCACAAAACAAAATAAATTGGACGTCCGACCTAAACTTCGTCGATGGCACGCTTGGGAACTTGGAGAAAGTGGTCAAAGAGAAGAACGGTGACGTAGAGATCATTATTGCCCTTTCATCGTGATTGTCTCCACATTGCCATGCTCAAAGTACGTATGCACTGAGTTATAACTGACTTGGCATACAACATAAAACTTGACAACTTTGCTGCCTCTAAGTGGCAAATTTTAGGTACCATGGGCGCACCCAACTGAAGGGGCCCGGTTTCCGGTCCCCTCCTTGGACCTGGATTTTTCGTTTTTGGGCTTGCGACAGAATCGTCGTGACGCGGACTCATTGAGCTCCGGGCCCGTCCATTAAAACTCTGACCACGTTTCCTTGTTGGCTGAAAATTATGTCGGATCGTGAATATTTATCCCAGTTTCAAACTGCACACCTACGTCGCAACAAATTGTACAGCCCATTTGATAACTTCGGTTTGATGCACACAAAACATGCGCCGATTCCAAAAGGATGCTAGTAAACATCGCCCACGCTTTTGTCACTTCATTGTCCGATAACCTGCATCACTGCACGTCACGCTTGGGGGAAGGTGAGCACAATAAGACTTGATTCGGAGAAAACAAAATATCGCCCTATCTCCATACATCTAAGTGGCATCACGCGAATATTGAGCAAAAAACGGCGTAGTGCCAACGTGGGGCGTCAAACAAAGAGCGGCAGGCTGGGATGTTACACGTTTGTGCTGTTCCGCCGTCATTTTGCAGCCATGGTTTCGCTGACTCCGTCACCGGTAGTCAGCAGGATGTACGTGCAAGCTCTGACAAGTTCACATACAGATCCAGGTACCCATCTGCCGTAGGCTGGGTAACGGACAGTGCCGAGGGAAGTGGCGGCGTCTGTGGAATAGTGATGTCATCGCAGCCGGGGCCTCTAAAGTCGTGCCAACAGCGTCGGAGGGGGCTTCGGGCAGCTATTTTGGCAATTGAAGTGGGGGCGCTGCGTGCCGTTCCGCTGCGTTCTGCCACATCGCCCTCCCCCTCCTCCTCCCCCCCCCCCCCCCCATTTCCCAGTTCCGTTTTGCCACGCATGTGGCACGCAATGGAAACAAACAAGTTGAATTGTTTGTGTGTTGTGCAAAACTGGCACGGCCAGCTGTGGTTTAAAAGGCCTGCAAATCTGAAGGCGGCAGATTGCTCCCTTCCCCAAACGTCTTGCAGCGTCTCAGGTGTCACAGCCTTTCGTGCAGGTAACGAGCTATCAGCGATGACAATTATGTCCGACACCTTTCGGAAAAGCATGAATTGCCTTAATGAACACAACCTTGCTCACTACCACAGAATATGCATGCAAGGTGCCTGCTGTCACACCGACAGGCAGACCAGGGAGGGTCCCAGCCAATGCCTAGCGGCACCGTTCAACACCAAAACCTGACGTGAGGCGCCACCCCACCCGACTCCTGCCATCAAGATCACCTACAGAGAGAGACTGCCGGAGTCTGCGTTACAGCCCACAGTGCAGTGCGCCAGTTTGACCGACTTACGTTGCACGCGGCATGTTATCAAAACTGGCCGGCATCCTCGCTTGGCGGTGTGACGAGGTCCGGCGTTTGTGCCTCACGGGTGTTACAGGAAGTGTGCAAAACTGACTTGTGTGATGCAACACTCCTTCGTACACATATTTCGACGATGACATGAATCCCTGTCATATGGATTTGCATTGAAGGGCAGCACAATTCTGAACCTAACGGCGGCGTCATGAGGGCCGCTTTGATTCGACGCCACTCCCGTCTGGCGCCGAAGCGAGCCCCCGGCACGACTCCCGTCTGGCACCGAAGCGAGTCCCCGACACGATTCCCGACTGACGCCGAGGCGAGTCCCCGACACGATTCCCGTCTGGCGCCGAAATGAGTCCCCGGCACGATTCCCGTCTGGCGCCGAAGCGAGTCCCCGGCACGATTCCCGTCTGGCGCCGAAATGAGTCCGGCGGCGCGTCCTCGGCGCGTGCTGCAAATTAATAGGGTCGCCGCGGGTGTGGGGGCTCACCTTGAGCCAGCTCCAAAGATCACAGCGCTGCTGTGGGCTCCTGGCGGCGGCTCATCGCCCGCCTGATGAAAGAGTCGCGTCACGCCCGCAGCTTGCTGCAGATGTCTAATGGACGAACCAGGCGTGACGTTTGCTGGAGCGCAAGACGTGGCGCTCCTTAGATGAGGTTTGCAAGCCGCTGCAAGCTGGTGGTGTTACAAACAAGACGCCGGTGATTACAAACACCCATGAGGCAGAGGCGGTCCGCCAGCCTGATGTGATTTAGGCCGTTGTAATTTACGTACGGAACGGACTCGAGGTGTGTTCCGCATCCCCAAGACCCGAAGCCAAAATGACATTGTCCACTGGCCGTCGGTTACTGACTGTGGGCGGCCGTTTCAGCTGCACTTACGCTTCCACTCTGGCGAAGCAGCTGCTCGGCTTGGGCAGCGGCGGGCAAGCCGGTTCGCAGAACAGTCTAACCTACCGCCGTATTTGAATGTCTCCTTGAATGTGCACCACTTTACTTTGCTCTCAGATGATTATTTTCTCAACATAGCGAATCGAGAACATACTTGAAAATATTGACGGACGTGGCCCGTGTATGATATCTCTGCTATAACCACATTATTTTTCAACATCGTTTTAAACGACAAGTCGATGTATGTAAAATGGTCTATCCTTAGGTTAAACATATGCTGCTAAGGGATCCAGCCATCCGTTTTGAAATGAATGCAGACCATGCCGGCAAATTAAAAGAACACGCAAACCGGACGGGCAAATGACGAATAGCATACCCATAGCGTATGAGTTGCCTCGGATTTAGGTCAGATCATTTAGAGTTCAGATAAAAGATAGCAACTGATAAACATTTCGAAATGACGGCATTGACTACGAGGGGCTAGCGCTGGGTCTCATATGGCGGTCTGTATATGCAAGCAGTGCCCAGACTGGTCTCCTTTCCGATATAACAAGACTTATCAATGTATCCTAGCATCCTGCATGTGGCAACTTGTTAAACTAGCCTTTGCTTTGCACTGGTCAGCATGCACAAGGCCCTTTAGAATGATGTAACAGTGGGTTAGAAATATCCTGTACTCCTTAAAGTTTCCAACCGTTTTATCTTCACTCCAATTTAAATGCATAGTTCTCTCTTTCTCCTTTTCGAAAAGGCGGCAGGGCAGCCTGCTTCTTCATCTTCACCGCAGTCCCTTCCTGTTCAAGTTACGACCAGACTGGCCTGGGCCCCACTTGTTTCGAACGAATTCCCACACCGACCATCTTGCCTGTGAATGATATGTGTTGAAAAGAAATGGCATTGATCGGCACTATTGCCCGCATAATTAGAGAACCAGCTGAAACGCATTCAGATGAAGGTAGAGAATATAAAGAATATAAAGAGTGTTTCCCTCTTTCCATCGCCAGTGTGTCACGACAATGTCAATGCATGTGCAATTTTAGTGCAGTTCTTATGCAACGTCGTTGTCACACGATGCGGGAGGGCGTTCGTCGGTCACCGCGCTCTCGGTCTGGACCGGGCCGGCTTTCGTCGCCGCACCTGTGTTGACACGCGCCGGCGGACGCTGGCCGCCGGCCAAGTGGCTCTGTATCGCCCTCTGTTCGCGCGATTTGCCGCCGATTGGCGGGAGTGCGGTCCGGTGCCAAGGCGGCCACCGAGCCACGTCACCACGTGCGGCCGGCCGCTGTGTTTGAGTTGCCGGCGAGCCTCGCCGATCAGTGCCCGCCTCACGACCGACTCACGCCGGGCCAGGCGACGCTCAGCGCGATGAACGGGCGCTGACGACACTGTGAGACGGTTTGCGGCAGACAAAATTGATGGTGGCGAGGGGCCTATGGTATGTTCTGCATAGCGTTGTAGGGATAAAACCGATGCTGTATGTATTGAGGCTATTTGATAGCCTTCACGTCGCGCGATTAAAGTAATGTTGCGTGGTTTTCTGGTGGTTTTACACGACACCTTACGTCACTGTTTGCCGACAGTTCTGCTGTAAGATCTTAGCGTGCTACGTGGTGTTACATTTCAACATTACATGACTCCATGGCCTGATTGGACCAGGTTTTGGCTACCACTCCCCGGCAGTATTATGGGCGGCATTATTTCGCGGTTGGACCTATCGCACGGATACGAGCCTGTTTAAAAACCTACATCTCAATCCAGAGGCGTGGTTTCGCGGAATAAAACTGGCTGGTTCTTAAAACTGGAGGATTAAGCCCTCACCCCCCCCCCCTTAAATACGAAATTACAACTCCGGATTGGTCGTCTTCTTAAACACTCCAGCTTTCACAGTGAAGCGGTTCAGAAAAAGGTCGACTGAATTAACAAAAAACATTATAAAGCGGTTATGTATTAAACTTTGATTCCCAAACCCGAGCAAAGCAACAGGGGTGTCGAGTCCTAGCTACTCAACGAGCTACTTGAGTCGAGCCACCCTGAGTTCGTCCGGTTATCGGTGCCTCTTAACATCACGCTGAATGTAGACGTAGAACTAAAACGGCTAGTACTAAGCTTCAGATGTGGTCACGACCTCAAGGTCGTAGGGAAGAACCGTGCTTGCCATGAACTACGACGTCCCTCAGCCCGTTCCATGGGACAGATGCTGCTTATGGCGGGACGTCAAGGTTAGCGTGGGAAAGCACAGCTTCTTTGCAATATCTGCCAACTTTGCAAGGTGGCGGTAGGCTGCAGCCGTAACCCCTTTATGAAAAAGCGCGCCAATCGTGATCAGCTGAGCACCTCCTTTTTTCAGCGCCCCTGGCGTACCTTCCGCCGGTGGTTGTATCTGGTGTGTAGTGGGTGACTGGCCCAGGTGGCTGCGGCAGGTGATAGGTTACTGACCCACATGACTGACCCAGGTGACGGACCCAGGTGACTGATCTTTACGACTACTGCCGGTGACTGACTCAGGCGACCGCCGCAGGTGACTGCTGCAGGTGACTGACCCGGGTAACTGCGGCAGCTGACTGACCCGGGTGACTGCTGCAGGTGACTGACCCAGGCGAACGCTGCAGGTGACTGACCCAGGTGACTGCTGCAGGTGACTAACGCAGGTGACCGCCGCAGGTGACAGCCGCAGGTGACTGACCCGGGTAACTGCGGCAGCTGACTGACCCGGGTGACTGCTGCAGGTGACTGACCCAGGTAACTGCTGCAGGTGGCTGACGCAGGTGACCAGGTAACTGCCGCAGGTGACTGACCCGGGTAACTGCGGCAGCTGACTGACCCAGGCGACCGCTGCAGGTGACTGACCCAGGTAACTGCTGCAGGTGGCTGACGCAGGTGACCAGGTAACTGCCGCAGGTGACTGACCCGGGTAACTGCTGCAGGTGACTGACCCAGGCGAACGCTGCAGGTGACTGACCCAGGTGACTGCTGCAGGTGGCTGACGCAGGTGACCAGGTGACTGCTGCAGGTGGCTGACGCAGGTGACCAGGTAACTGCTGCAGGTGGCTGACGCAGGTGACCAGGTGACTGCTGCAGATGACTGACCCAGGTAACTGCGGCAGCTGACTGACCCAGGCGACCGCTGCAGGTGACTGACCCAGGTAACTGCTGCAGGTGGCTGACGCAGGTGACCAGGTGACTGCTGCAGGTGACTGACCCAGGTGACTGCTGCAGGTGACGGACGCGAGCTGCGACGCCAGCGCGGAGTACTCCAGCGGGGAGTCGGGCGGCGAGCTGGACTCTTCCGAGTCGGAGGTGTTCGACTGCAGCGTGGTCACGTGCCGGGAGGTGGCGCCGGCCGCCGCCGGCCGGGAGAGCGCACCACCCCAGGTCAGCGGTGACACCGAGCGTCCCGCCTGTGCACGCCTGTGGTCTATTGACTCGGGCCGTGGGGAGTCGGCCAACGCGTCTATCCTTTCTGCACTTGCGGTCTGAAGTTTAGGTAAAGTCCCTGCGGCTCTAGCAAAAATGGCAACTTCCATGACAAGGGGTGGGGACTTACAGCCACAGCCATCGAGCCTCAAAGATGCGACGAACAAAGTAAGTGCCGAAAAGTGTCTGTGTACGCGAGTCTGCGCACTGCAGATTTGTTTTGCCACGCTAGCTTGCCGACTGTGATTAAACCAACGAACGGTGGCGTATACTTTTTTGTGTTTTAGCTGGCATGGCGTGAAATACAATTCAACGTTAGTCAGACACTGTGCTATCCACGAAACTTATTACATTAGACCGAGTACCAGCGAACAGACGCGGGGTCCCGAAGGACATTGCCTAGCACATTTTGATATAATTGGCACTGGGTGACAATGCATTCTATGAAATAGGCATACCGTCCCCCCCCCGCAGTTGACCTGGTTATTTCTAGCTGATGTATGCCATCTGCCCGACACCATGGTCCGGGATGGCTTCAGTAGTCCTCTGCTGACGCGGCGGGCGCGGTTGGCTCCGTTCCAGGCTGCTCTCCACAGCAAGCGGCGGTCGTCTAACGACCAGTCCGTGACCCCGCTGAACCTGACGCCGCCCCAGGCGACCCGAGACCCGGCGCCCGCCGGCGACACACCCACCCCCACCTCCAGGTGCGTGCTCGTCCGGGGTCTGTCCCCCGTCAGCTGTTATCGCGCTAACAGGCGCCGTTTCTCGCAAAGTGACGTAGCTGATTTACGTGCCGTTTTTCACCAGATAACGCTTGGCCGTAGTGCCAACGTTTGCCAAGCTGTCAGTGGGGCGCTATGATTCACTGGCATGTGCGTAGATTGAGGGTCTGACATTGACGGCTGCATGTAAGGCAACGCTTTATGTGGGTATGTACCTACTTCATCGTGCATCAGTTCATGGCTTGTTGCCATATGTGTAGGAGAGGCATTTTAATCCATACACCACACGCGTTATGCGATGGACCACGCTGAGGCTGGCGGTATCACCTCATGGGAACGCGATTTGCTCATTATTTCATGATGTTGACAACAAAGAGTCTAAACGTGACCTCAAAACGACGCTTTTTGGGTCTGTCCAGTCCAGATTATGCATATATATATATATATATATATATATATATATATATATATATATAATTTTAGTAGCGTTGTGAGACATGAAACCGAGGTCTATTGTCCACTTATGTCACAAAGTTACAGATACAAAGTGACAAATATGGTTATATATGTAGTTGGTTGTAAGGAGGTGTGGTATGGTTATATATATATATATATATATATATATATATATATATATATATATAAAGTTACAACTATATACAAGTTGCATACGGATACAAAGTTACAAATACCCCTGGCACTCAGCACCTGCGACCACCCGACTCGTCAGCAGTACTTGTTCGTTCTTCCCCTGGCAGTTCTGGAGGCTCGACAATACTGACCTGCTCCGCCCAGCACCGGGAACCGACCAATAGTAACGCACCGGGTGCCGCGGCGTGGGCGGGGCGTCACCGCCCTCATACGCGCCGACCAATCACGACGCCGAGTTCGGGAAGCGAGGGCGGAGCTCCAGGGTCACCGACCCGCCGTCGCAGGCGCGTTCCCCGTTCGGCGCCGGTGGCGGCGGAAGCTGGCCAATGGCGGGAAGGACCCGACGGCGCCGCATCCGGTCAAGGTCAGACGGTCTGGAGGCGGAGAGGTGCAAGGGTGTTAGGACAGACATGTTGGCGCTGCACAAAGTGGGGACACGTACATGGGCGTGTGGTGGATATGGCTATTTCCAGTCATACATGGGTCACAGGATTCTGGAGTCCGCTTTTCTGCGCACGCTCCAGTCAAGTGGTTAAGAAGTATCGATGTTGTCATTAAGGTAATATCAGCGACAGGTGTCAAGCGAGGATGGTCATCACACAATGACAGCAGTTCACAGATTCTTTCGAGGTCATAATCCCACCTGCTTCACCCGTGAAAATCTCCCTTGAGGTTTTCGCCCTCACTACGTTATCATTAAGAAGGCACAGTGCTTGTGAAATGTAAGACATGGTAAGTATTAAAATGAATTGAGATGACCTCCTTACAATGATGATATACCTGATATTCTTAATTCAGTAGTATTTTGAATGTCTTTTCGGTCGCTATCCTTCTTAACAGAATCGAAAAGTTGAGAATGAATCGGACATCAGATGCTAACCAACATAGATATCTATGTGGCATTAGATTTCTGTGCCAACCAGTGTTATCAGCATTTTTCCCCTGCACAGACGTGATGAAGTGGACTCGCATTTCCCACACTCTGACCGAACAAATAACAATGAACCACAAGGATGAAATACGCTAGCTCTGCACAGAATAAGCATAAATTATTCTCATGAATGTACTATTCATGTGTGGTAGGGGTTTCTATTTGCGTGCCTGATTTGATTCACATATTTTGGTGTGGCGTGGTCTTTGTTTGCAAAGTTTTAACTTGAGATAATAACCAGTCTACAAAAAAGCTGTCATCCGTTTAGGACTTTCGAAGCGCGATGAAAATATCTTCAGACGGCGTTGATAATGATCACTCGTGTCAAAGCATACAAAAACCTGTTTAAAGCAAAGGGGTGCTCCAAACAACTTATACGTCGCCTTCATCGAGAAGCCACACAACAACATCGACTGGAATAAACAACGCCGATAAAACAACAGCAACAGGAGCACCATCATCAACATCAACAAGAACATCAACGTCAATATCAGCATGGAAATTGTCAACACCAACAAGATCAAACCAGACGAATATCTTACTTTACCTTAAGTGGGACGGAGCCTTGTGTGTGAGGATAAAACCAGTCGCTAAAAAGTTTTTATCTTAATGTTCGTATACCATGGCAAATCAGAATACTTTAGAACACAATCTAGTCCAGTCAGCTTTCTCACAACCGGTACGTCCATCCGCTGAAAGAATTTCTAATGCATGCATCTGAAAGTGACATGTCTGATGCGTGGCGCAGTGTATTGTAGAGCGTGTTTGATAAGTGAAGTGCTGGGGCGAAGGTGGTATGCTGGTAAATCAAAGTGACCCATTCGGCTACGGTTTAATGACCTCGTCCAGGTTTAAAGAAAAAGAATCCTGAGACCCCCATCGGTAATTTTCTTTTGCACACCAAAATTTAGAGATTCGGCGGCTGATAACCCTTTGGGTGTTAAGATTTTGCGAGAAAAAGACGACCATCACCATTACAAAATATGCTATCAATCCACATATGTGAACTGAGCCCCGATTACACAGAAACACTCCATCCTGGCGAATGAGGTAGTCTGCAACCTGTGCAAAGCCAGGGAATTACATCGCCTGAGATTTACTGTAATTTGTTCGGTCGAAGTGTGGGAAATGTGTGCCATTTGATCACGTGTGTGCAGGGGGAAACGCTCCCAATGCTGGCATCTAGTGTCCATTTCATCTTAGATCGTATTGATCCCGGTAGCAAAGTATGTCATCGAAAATTCATTCATATACATCTAACTGAACGAATATCACGTATATGATTATTGTGAGGAGGTCGTCTTGCTTCACTTTAACAAGACGTTATATTGCAAGACATGTCTGACATTACCGCGTAATAAATCTACACGTTCCGTGTGAGACGACACCCTATAAGAGCGGCAACTGCGGCGTGAAGGTCTCGATGTGACCCCACCGAGAACATCCCTCGAATCCCACCGTGACAGTGGGTCTCAAACTGCAGCCGGTCACCTGACATCACAGCTGTCCGGCGCCACCGACACCACACTTGAGGACCTCTCTACCGGTGACGTCACCGAGGATACCTGTGACGTCATCAGCTCTGTGTCCGAACAGGCGTGGGACCCGTACCAGGCAAGAAGCAAGGGAGCGTCATGATGTTTGCTGCGGCTGTTCGATGATTGTTGGCGTTGTCCGAACGAGGCGCGGTTTTATTTGTTTCATGCACTCTGTACAGGGTTTGGAGCTTGGCAAAATATTGACTTTCTCCTGCCGCCATTTTGGAAGCATGACTCGCGCGTTAGTTCCCACCGGGCATTATTTGCAATCCTTTATCCATGCATCGTCATCAGCCATGTGTCCCACATCTAGCAGTCACGTGACTGGTGACCCGCGAACAATGGCGTGCTTCCATGACCCACGGGCCATAGCGTGCTTCCATGGCCCACGGACCACAGGGTGCTACCGTGACCCGTGGGACCATAGCGTGCTACCGTGACCCGTGGACCATAGCGTGCTTCCGTGATCCGTGGACCATAGCGTGCTCCCGTGATCCGTGGGCCATAGCGTGCTTCCGTGACCCACGGACTATAGCGTGCATCCGTGACCCACGGACCATAGCGTGCTCCTGTGACCCGTGGACCATAGCGTGCTTCTGTGACCCACCGGCCATAGCGTGCTCCCGTGACCCGTGGACCATAGGGTGCTCCCGTGACCCACGGACCATAGCGTGCTCCCGTGACCCGTGGACCATAGCGTGCTTCCGTGACGCGTGGACCACAGCGTGCCCCCGTGACCCGTGGCCTGCCGCCGGCCGCAGGAGTACAAGGAGATCAGCGAGCCGGGCTCGGAGGCGGCGCTGGACCCGGCCGCCCTGCTGCGTTTTCTCGACTGCGACGACTACCGAAACTTCCTCGACTCTGTCTCGGACTGCACCTCGTCCCAAGTCAGCGGCACGCCGGCCGCGCGCCGGCCGCCGCCGCGCCGCCTCCGCAGACAGGTGCGGCAGCTGGACACGGCCGCCATAGATAGTCACCGACATGGACGCCTCAACTGATCTGGTCCGTTTGCTTGACCGCGGTTGTTGGATGGGTTAAGGTAGTGTTCATCGTGACGCTTTAAGTACATCCAAAGGCTTTCTTGACAATTTGAGCGAATTGGAACTTGTGCTTTCGGAGTGCTCTTGTGCTTGTTGGGTATAGATCTCGAGCAGGATCATTGGAGGTTTATACCGTAGTAGAGCAGTCTGGGTACACTTCCAATCGCTTATCGTCGGCCAATTGTGACGCCAGTGGTGTACTTTCGCCCAGTGAGTTGGCAGGGGGTGGGGGCTGAACCGTGAACACTATGGGACCACCTCCAAGGCTGCTAACCAACGTGTTTCGCCCAGGATGTGGCCCACTTTGCCATCCAAGTTAGGGGACTGGATCCCAAGTTGGGTAGGGCTGAAGCTCCCCTCCCCCAGTTGAATACGCAACTGCACCGCTAGGTGACGCGTTAATGACGCCGTACCGCGGCGGTTGACAGTCTACCTTCGAGCCATTTAGCTGCCGAGCTCCACTGGCCAAGCGCACCGCGTCACTGTGGCGGCGGAACAGCGCGTGGCACGCCGTTTGAAACAGGCCCTCGACCTCGTCACTGTCAGCGGCGCCCGTTTGATATCGCCCGAGGCGTTGGTTGTTGACCGGTACGCCGTGCCGCCACAGCTGCGCACCGCCAGTGACTCGGGCGACAGCGACACGGACTCGGACGAGCTAGCGGCGGCGCTGGCCGAGTCGCGGCGCCGCCTGCTGCTGGCCCAGAGCGAGCTCGGCCGCCGCGCCGCCCAGCACGACCCCATCTGCGTGAGTGAAGAACGCCGCCTGCCGGGTCAGCAACGCGGGTTGAGAGTATGTTTGCGAAGACTAATTGCTTCAGAGTCGCTGGGCGAATGGCGATGCCGCAATGCTATCCATCGTTTGATCGTGGCAATATTGTTGTACGCATCGTCAGTTTTTTAAAGCACGCATGGAAAAGCACAAGCGTGGTCAATTCCCTGGCCACTACATTTACTTGTTCCCCACATGAGTCATGTCGTGTCTCTATTACCGCGACGTTGGTTCGTCAACCCCGCATCGTATACCCTGGCGTACGTTATGAGATATTCCGGTTTGAATGAATGCTGCCAGATGTCAGTAGGCTCGCGCCAGCTGTGGACTTTCCCGTCACACTTGAGTAACGTGGCGTAGCGGCCGCGGCCGCGGCCCGCCGGCCGTGCTGCTCTGCACCAGTGCGGTCCCAAGGCCACCGACTGCGCGTGCCGTCCGAGCCTGTTCATGACTCATTCGTTTTACGAGGGACTGCATGTGTGGGACTGGTGCCGAGCTCCATACCTTGATGCACGCGGAAACGACACTGCTTCGGTTCTGCGTTCTGAAGAAGCCGCTTTTTAGTCCGGTGTTCTGGCCTGCGTGCCGATCTGAGCTGGGACGACTCGACCAGCTGCTGGTCTGGACCGACCCTGTGGGCCGGGGTCGGGAACCAGCATCTCCCTACATGAAGCCGGCAGTCGCCGAGATAAAAGGTGAGGCGAGAATTTGAAAACACACCATTGTTGCATTGGCTTCTTCGCTGATTAGTACAAATTTGTGTATGAATGAGTGTTCCCACCACTGCGTTCTTGCAAGTGTTTTGGCAGCAGTACGCAAAGACGCAGGATGTTGGAAGTACGACCAGGCACCACATAAGCAGTGCAGTTGTTTTCTACTCCGTTCTCTCTCGTGTCGGTCTTTTGCCGGCTCTGACCTCGGCCAGCGATCTGACCTGGGCTGCCCCGTGGCCGCAGGCGTGATTCAGGAGTGGGAGGGGCTGCGGACAGCGGCCTCCGAGCTGCAGCAGCGCGCCGACCAGCTCAGCCGCCTGCAGGCACGAGCCCGCTCGCTCCGGCACGCCCCTCGCCTCTCTGGACGAACGGGACGGCGCGTGCCGGCAGAGATGTCGCCACCGTCGACGATCTGCAGGCACGCATCAGCGCCGTGCAGGTGTGGAGCTGGACGAAAGCTGAGCTTGCTTGACCTGGCGCAAGATGGCAGATAAGGCTGAGTCTCGCTTGCTTTCACAGACATCGGATGCTGTTGTTGGCAGTTGGTCAAAGCGGCGAATAACCTCACTTGCTTAATGCAGGTGATGTCTTCTCCATCTGACTTTTTATCTTGTGGAACGGCTAAATTCCATTAAAAAGATCATCAGGACGGGTTTGCCCTTGCCCCATGAAACAGCTGGCTGACATAGCTTCAGATCCGTCCCTGTCAAATTTAGGATCCGTTTCTATCGTACCTCTGGTTTAACATGCTAGCGCTGAATGCTTACAGCCAAGCCGGCTCAACGCGCCGTTGCTGCGCACTAGGTTTCGGTGCCATGTTTGAAGCAAGCCTGTGATGAGAACCGCTTTAATGCCTCTTCTCACCAGGTGTGTTACTGCAGCGGCAGCGGCTTCTCCCCTCGGACTGTGACCCAGCGGTTGGACCGCTGTGGCTGCGACACCTGCCGTGTTATTGAGCGGCCCTCGGCGTCATCTGACGCGGATGCTGACTGTGCCAACCCGTCACGCCGCCCGACGTTAACCCCGGCGACCGGCAGGCGCTGCAGCAGGAGCTGGCCGACCAGCGGCAGCAGCTGGCCGAACTCAACTCGGCCGTGCACGGTCACGTGACCAGATGCGGCGGCCCTGTCTCGCTGAAGGAGGATATGGCGACGCTGTACCGTATCTGGGAGGAAGTCAGCCACAGGTCAGCCCGCGCGCGCGCGCACCAACAACTGCCTTGCCCAGTGGCGTGGGAGCAGGAGCTCCCGGCTGGGCAAGGCTATCCAGACCTGAGTAAAATCTGGCATTACTCCTGTGGCGTTGCTTGTGACAAGCCCCCCCCCCCCCCCCCATCCCTTCCAGAAAGCTGTTCGCGTGTGCGTGCACCCAGGCACAGAATAGCAGGCGCGAACGTGAGTTCTAGATATAAGTTTGGCACTCATGGTCGGATATTTTTTCTTATATGAGAAGAGATTATGTCCCTTCCCGTTGCTATCCTTCCCCATCTGCGCAGGCGTGTCGGAAGGTTACTGATTTCGCCGTCAGAGCGGCAGCCTCCGAAGGTACGCTCGTGCTGCGTCCACTCCCCGCGTGCAAGCGTGACTTGTCGCTGTTTCAACCGTGAAGGCACCAGTTGACATAGGGACTGAGAGGCCTGGCTTACTGACGTGATTACGTCCGTAAGAAAGCAGTGCATGGTAGCCCGGTTGCCAACCTCTGGAATACTATTGCTCTGGGGCCTGCGCGTGTGCGCCGTTATTTCGAGAGCCGGGTCCGTGCCCGGTTGTTTTGGCGTGGTTGACGGCCCGTGACGTTGGTGGACTGCTGTGGCCCATCTGTGGTGACCTCAGAGGCCTGCGGTGACCAGTCTGCACCCTCTCCAGGGCTCAGTCGCAGCTGGAGCATCTGTCAGCGGCCGCTGCCACCTGGCAGGAGTTTGAGGGCGGCGCGGGCCGAGTTGGCTGCGGGCGCTGGATGCCGACCGCCGCCGACTCGGCCTTCTCCAAGCGGCGCTGGCCACCGACTCTGGTGTCACCGGCGCTAACGTCACCGGCGCTGACGTCACCGGCCGTGACGTCACTGATCGGGCCCAGGCTACCGCTGCAGTGGACGGGGGACTGGTTGAGTTTCTGAGATACCTACATTTGCTTACCTGTACGGTATTAACGTAATGCCCACCGCGGCGGAGACACATTGCAAAAGTATCCCAAGGGAGCGAATTTTGATGACTACGTCGGTGTTAACGATAGGTAGTTTGTGACGCTGTCGAACACCACTGTTGTCGGCGATTTGGTGCCGCAGTGTTGTAAAGCAGAGGGGAGTTGTGGAACCGCGAAACCTATCGTCAACCGTCCGGCATCCTCTTTATGCGTCTGATTGTTTCACCTGAACGTTAATGACTGACATGACTTTGCCTTCCACCTGGATCATCGCTACGACCACTTGCTACCACCTATTGACCAGATCCGGCGATCTGATGTCCTCAGACTGGTCACCTGACTGCGCTGACCTGCTGCCGCCAGCCTGCGGACCTGATCGGGCTGACCTCGGCCGGCTTGGATGACCTCTCGGAGGGCACGTCAGGCTACGACAGCGCCCTGCTCGGATGACCTACGCGAGCGCGAGCGGCGCCTGGGCCGGCTGCGCCGCATGGCCGGCGATCTCGAGGCCGTCCTCAGTCCCGGTGGCCAGGCCTGGAGCGACATCAGACATGTGAGCAGCTTCAGAGGCGTTCCGTCGGCCGCAGCCACGGGCTTTCCCAGCTATGGCACGAACTGCAGTCGTGTTAGTGGCTGGTTGTGTTGTTTGCTGGTAATGAGGATGTCTTGTTTATTATAAACGGATTTTCTTTTTGACATGTACAGTACATTGCACATTTTGACAGTACATGCACTCGCAGCTACGGGCTGTAACTCTGGTGCTGCCATCTCTGACCAGGTTTCGCTATCCCACCCACGACTTCAACAGCGCTATTTCGTGCGCATTGCTACGTATTTTCCGCTCCTAAGCCGAAGTTCGAGTCAGCAGACAATCCTTCCCGGGATCTGGAAGATGTTTGTGGGAGGGCTTCCCCGAGTCTGACCCGTGTGACCCAGGCAGACGCTGACGACGGCCACTCCGGACTGCGTGACCTGCAGCAGAGCTGCCGTGACCTGGTGCTGCAGACCACCTCCCAACTGCAACCGGGGGACGACCACGCGCACGGCAGCCCCGTCCTCCGGTCAGACCATACGCACGGCAGCCCGTCCTCCTGCCAGACCACACGCACGGCAGCCCTGTCCCCGGGCAGACCACACTCACGGCAGCTCCGTCCTCCGGTCAGAACCTCGCGCACGGCAGTCCTGTCCTCCTGCCAGACACGCGCACGGCAGCCCCATCCTCCGGTCGAGACCACACACACGGTAGCCCCGTCCTCCGGTCAGACCGCACTCACGGCAGCCCCCGCCCTCCGGTCAGCGCAGCGCGCTCCACGTGTTCAACACCCCGCTGAATTTTGACGGGGCAGGACTGAATTGCAACGTGCATGCCGGCTACCAAAGCTGACCCAAGCTGGTTCAACTGGTGCAACAGCTCAGCGGCAACAGGATGGAAGCTGTGGATTTGTGGAAGCTGTTTTAAGTCGTGAATATGGACTGAGCACGCAATACGATACCGTTTTGAATTTGTTGTGCAGCTCACCAATCACCCTGTCACCCCTCCCCCCTCGCCGCTTCGCATGTCACCAGGGACCTTACACTGACCCGGTGCTCCTCCGCAGGCGGAAGAGCTACGCGCATGACGCGACGCGCTCGGTCGCCGCTTTCGCCGGGCGGCCGCGGCCGGCGCGGCTGGCTGCGGCGCGTGCTGCGCGTGGCGCTGCCGGTCCAGCTGGCCATGCTGCTCTGGCTGTGCGCCGCCTGCCTGCTGGAGCCCCAGCTGCTGTGACGACCTCAATAACCTGGCCATGTCGCTGACGCCGCAGCTGCGCTACGTCGGCGGGCCGCCGCCCATCTGAGCGGCCTCCGCCCGGCTCACCTGAGCTGCGAAGCTCAGTGGCGGGCCATACACAGCTTAAGAGCCCGCCTGCGCAGCTCACTGGTGCGAGTACGCTACGTAGATAGTCAGGCTCCAGTAGGCGGTGCGGCGGACTTCGCAGTGCATGCCGCGTGTCACTCTCGCCACCCCGGTGGCGCCCGGCCAGCACTGCCCTAGCCGGGGCCAGACTGGTCTGATCCGAGGTCAACTGAATACCAGAGGCCAGTGTGAACCGTACTTATCGACGAGCGTGCCAACATATGTCTTAGTGAACGGCCTTTGTTTGCCAGGATAGCAGGTAATTTATTTTTAGGAGGGATGCCCGAATGTGTACCAGTGTTTACACCACGAGACACTGCCACGAGCCTCGTGAAGTGCTAGGTCAGTCAAAGACGGTTAGAAGCCTGCGCTAGCGACGGGATTTGGGGGAGGCCCGCGTTAGTGGCGGGATTAGGGGGCTGTCATGCTTTTGTACACAGCCTTTGCTGCAGCGTTTTGATAGCGAGCACTGTCAACGGAGCACGCGATCTTCGTGTCGGAATATGTAAAGCCTCTGTTTGGCACGGTCCGTATGTGGCCTTGAGACCATACCCCGCAGCATCAAACGCTTCGAAAAACATAGCGGGGTGCGGTGGTGCCATAACCAAGCGCGAGTGGATCTCGCTCAGCCTTTGCCCCTGAGAGTTGACTTTTGCTCCCGAAGACTCTCACGCATGCATGCGGGTA